TAGTGCGTCCACCTGCGCGCGAACTGGCAGCCGCATCCCCGCACACACAGAGACAGATACCCCAATCTCGCCCGCTGTGCGTTGAGTTTGCGGGAGATGCATTGTTTAAGACACAAGCAAGCAAAGAGCCGCCTGATCAAGAGGCTTGGTCGATTTCTCATACAAGCACACACACACACACACACACACACACACACACACACACACACACACACACACACACACGCACGCACGCACACACACACACACACACACGCACGCACGCACACACACACACACACACACACACACACACACACGCAAATATACACACACACGCACACACACACACAAATACATAAGTGCACACACACTATCTCGCTGTGTTGCGCGTTCCCACCTGCTCTGTGGCGACGGATGCGGCGCTGCTACGCTGGGAAGAGTCCATCTTGGGGTCCAGGAACGGGTTGTTCGCAAACTTGGTCGCATCACCAGACGACACGAGCGACGTGGCAGACGCCTTGCTGTGCAGCCGCGATCGCGTGCCCTGTTGCTGCTGGTGTTGCTGGCCCACAGCGTGCGGGGCTGAGCTTGGCCTGCGTTGCGCCGTGCCGCTGCCACTCCTCGACCGCGTCCCTCCTCCGGCTGCTGCTGTTGTCGTTGCTGCCGCCGCCTTGATGGCCGGTGCAGTTGCGCTGCTGCGCCCACTCGCGCTGCTGCCGTACTTGGAGACGTACGGGTCAAGGAACGGGTTGTTGGCAATCGGGCTGGGCGCAAATGTCTCGGAGGTGGTGGATGTGCGTGTCATTGGGGCTGCAGATGATGTGGACGATGCAACAGACCCGCCACGGTACCCAGATTTGGACGGCGTTGTGATGTCAATCACATCCTCATCCTCATCGCTCGACGTGTCGTCGTCATCGCTCACCTGCTTCCCGTCATTATCATCATCATCATCATCATCATCATCGTCAGCGTGGCTCTCTTCCTCCAAGCGCGAGAGCGACGAAGCCACCAGCTTCCCTGCTCCCGTTCGGCTCAAGCCACCATCACCACCATCACCACCATCACCACCATCACCACTGCCACCATGGGAGTCCTCCTCGTCCCACACGGCGCCGTTCGCTTCTCCCAGCAGGTCCATGTCGTGCTCCAGCAGCAGCGACTGCCGCCGGGACTGCTTCATCTTGATGTCTGCCTTGGCCAGGTCCTTCGCCGCCTCGTTCCTTCGCTGCGTCGCATCAGCAAGCAGCTCCGTCTCCTCCTTGAGCTTCTGCTCAACAGACTGCTGCTGCTGGAACCGCTTCATCCACGTCTCCTTCGCCTGCATGTTGCGCTTGTGCTTCTTCTCCGTCTGCTGCCGCTCCTCCTCCAGCATCTTCAGGTTGTACGCCTCGTCCAGCTCGCGTTCCCACTTCTCCCGCGCCGCCTTGGCCTCGGCCTCCTGCCGCCGCCGACGCTCCTCCTCAAACTCCGTCCGCTCCTGCTGCATGCGCGCCGTCATCTCTGCCAGCTTGCGCTGCGCCTCTTCCCTGCTCGCCGCCTCCCGCGCAAGCGACTCTGCCTCGAGCTGCTGCACCAGCTTCTGCTTCTCCTCGTCTGCCACGGCCTGCTGCTGGATGTCTGCCCGCACCCGCGCCTCCCGCTCTGCAATCTCCACCAGCAGCTTGTCCTCGTGCCGCCGAGCCTCCTCAAGCATCTTCCTGTGCTCCTCCTCCTTTGCTTTCACCTCTGCACGCAGCGCCTGCTCCGCCCGTGCCGCCTCCTCCTCCCGCTGCTTCTTCTGTGCCTCCAGCATTGCGTTGAGGCTGCGCACCAGCTCGTTCTTCTCGCCAATCTCCTGCGTGGCCGCGGCCAGCCGCTGCTCCGCCTCCTGCCGCGCCTGCGCCGTCTCGGCCGCCTGCGCCTCAGCAAGCCGCCGCACCTGCCATGGGAAAGAGTTGGAAGAGTTGGAAGAGTTGGAAGAGGGGGAGCGGATGTGAAGGTGAGAGAGAGAGGGAGGGAGGAAAGGTGTTGGGAAGCGGGATGCAGTGAGAGTGGGTGAAACTATGCGGCGATGATGCTTTTGCTTCAATCGAGCGACATGTTCACACATGCGCGCATGGATGACAGCGTACTTCAGCGCGTGCTCGTTCAAGCTCCTGGTCCTGCTTCCGCTTTTCCTCCTCAAGGGCCATGGCCACCTCGCGCCGCGCCCTGGCCTCAATCTCCTGCTGGCTGGCCTTTGTCTCCGCCAACAGCCGCTGCCGCTCCCGCGCAATGCGCTCCTGTAGCTCCCGCTCCTTCGCCTCCGCCCCGGCCTGCAGCTGGCGGCGCATCTGATGCCGACAGCACACGCATGGTGGTGGTGGTGGTGGTGGTGGCGGGGTGAGGGTTGCTGTCGAGGGAGGGGGGGGGGTGATTGTGGACTCGCTCAGGTTGTTGACAGACATTGACAGACAGATTCACGGACGCAAAGACCCACATAGACAAACACAACACAACACAACACACGCAGGCTCACCTCCTCCATTTTCCTCCTGAGAGCCTCGGTCTCCCTCAGCTGCTTCTGCATCTCCTCCCTCGCCTCCCGCTCTGCGCGCTCGCGAATCTCCCTCTCCAGCTCGCGCTGTCGGGCCTCCTCCCGCCGCTGGGCCTCCCTGCGCGCTCGGGCCTCCTCCTCTGCCAGCGCAGCCGCCTGTGCCCGCCGCTCGTCCTCAAGCCGCTGCCGCTCAAGCGCAACCCGCTCCTAAAAAAGAGGGAGGGGTGTTATGTGGTTGTGTGTTATTGGTGGGGGGGGGGGGAGGTGTAAGTGTGTGTGTGTGTTGAGTTGTGGGTTGTGGTGAGCAGGGGAAGGTAAGGGGGGGGGGGGTGACAAAGAAACGAGTCATACGAAGGAGAACAAAGAGCGTCAGCGGCGAACGTAGTCAGACCCAAATCGCAAATTTATTGCGCCGCCCCGTACCTTCTCGGCCTGAAGCATGGCGCGTTCGTTCTCGAGCGACTGTTGTTTGCGCAGCAGCTCCTGTTCCCTCTCCTCCCGAGCCTGCCGCTCCCGCTGCTCTTCCTCCTCCTTCCGTCTGCGTTCCTCTTCCTCCTTGCGCTTCGCCTCTGCATCACGAACGCCGTTCACGCCATCTGCTTTGTCTCCAGTAGCGGTTGCGCTGCTGTTTTTTGTCGCCGTGGCTGTAGCAGCGGAGGTTGAGCTGAGCATGGAGAAGAGGGAAGCCGTTGCCTTGAGCGCGCCCAGGCCCTTCTGCGCGCCACGCCCACTGGCACCTAGCTCCTTACGCAAGCGGGCGGCCTCGGTTGGGTGGTTGAAGCGGAACACGTTGGTCTGGCCCAGCTGCACCACGTTGCCCTGACGCAACTGCACCGAGTCTTCGAGCTTTGCGCCGTCCACAAAGCACTCCTCCGCGATGGGGTGCAGCACCACCACCTCCACCAGCGAGTTGATGCCCGTGTCGTGCTCCACCTTGAACTCGATAATGGCGTGCTCTCGCTCCGTGCCCAAGCCGTAGATGTGGATGTCCTGTGGCGGCGTGTCATCATCCTCCTCATCCTCATCCTCCTCGTCTTCGTCAAACGCGTCATCAACGTCAATGCTGCTGCTGTTCGTGTCGCTGTTGTCGTCCGTGCTGCTGTTGTTCTTGCGGCGTGGTTCGCGCCCAATGCGCGTGATGCCCTCTTTGAACGTGTAGATTGTGATGTTGGAGGAAAACGGGTCGTCCGAGAGCGAAATGAAATGCGGCAGTCGTGATTCTAAACGCAGGACGTGGTTTCCGGTTGATTCAAGGCTTGCCGCGTGCTCATCCAGCATCTGAAAAAGGGATGGGTTGCGCGTGTGTGTGTGTGTGTGTGTGTGTGTGTGTGTGTGTGTGTGTGTGTGTGTGTGTGTGTGTGTGTGTGTGAGCGGAGGGAAAGACAGGACGGGTTGGGACATGAAAGGAACAGATACAGCCCACAAGTACATGTCACACACATGCATGTTCACACACACACACACACACACACACACACACACACACACACACACACACACACACACACACACACACACGCACGCACGCACGCACGCACACACGCACAACCACACACCCACACACGCACAAACACACACGCGCGCACCCACACCCACACACACACATACCAGACTTGCCTCTACACCCCCCCCCCCCCCCCAACCCCACTCACATCAGGAAAACAATGCTGTGGTGCTCTCCTAGGGGTTCCGTCTGTTTGGACTGATCTTTTCATCACACGATAAGCTCGTCTCTGAGCGCCTCTGTTCCCTTGAGTTGCATTTCAGTCGCCAGCAACTCTTCAGAATC